TTTCATCACAAAAAAAGATGATGTTCAGGATGAGGTCCACTAGGTACAATGTGACACATTGAATGCGTCTCTCTACAACACACAATCTGCTTAACAACTTCACGCAGGTTCAAATAGGTAGAAACATGCTCGATCACTGGCTGCTATGGGGCCTCAATAATCTCAACGATGCCGTCTTCAACTCTCAGACGTCCATCAACGAGGAGTTGGATCGCCGCGGGGTATGCTTCTCGTTCCGCAACAGCCACCTTATCGCGAACGGCCTCCCAGCTATCCCCAGATGAAATTTCGCAGACCTGAGCGGGAGGCAGATTCTCAACGAGAATGTGAAGAGCGCAAATCGTACGAACAGTAGCTCACAAGTGTACAGGTCGAAACACCCGATGCGAGCGACACATTTGAAAGGTGCTACATCCTCGAGCAGCGGTTAACAGGACTTACCTTCTGCAGTATGATAGGACCAGCATCGTATTCATTGGTGACGAAATGAACTGTGCATCCAGTGACTTTAACGCCGCGCTTAACCACCGCTTGGTGGACGAGATTACCATACATACCCTCGCCACTGAACGCTGGTATGAGCGATGGGTGTATCTAGTGGAGCACGTATAAACTTGTAGTACTTCGTAAAGACACTTGTTGTGTTGGAAATATGCACATGGCAAACTAAATGTGTTGGTGACGATCGGAAATGCGGAATTTCGGGGGGGGGAGGTTCTTAGTCATTTCTGTACATTTCTACCCGAATTCGTACATAAACCTCGATTATTAGTGAAAGAGCTCCTGAGCTCAGCTGGGGAAAGCGAACATATATACTAATCCAACACTGATGGCCAGATGTGAACCGATGAGCAGCAGAAAAAAGTCTGACATAAAGCCGAACGAGAGAACTCACGTTCAAGCATTTGCCCTCCCTCCACTCTGGGGGCAGATGATATAAGCACATGAAGCCAGCCAGAATGAGTATGTCCGGTTTGAACGGCATCAGAGCCTCTGTCACCGCCCGGGACATTGCCTCCCAATCAGGTGTAGTCTTCCTACTACTACTAGAAGCACTGAGTGCCTGAATACCTGATGAAACAGAGAATCCGTTGCAGAGTGACGGGGGGATCAGGAATTGGTTTACGATAGTTCTTCGACTCCACCACAACTGTTGGTATGCCGTGATTTTTAGCTCTCTGTAGACCTCCCGCATCGATACGTGATGATAATACCACACCGATCTCAGCACCCCGAAGACCGCCACTGAAGAGAGATCATCAGATCTCCGGAGATTAGCTTCATTTTAGAGGGCATCGTGAGACGCTGGTATGAGAGTTACAGGCTGTTGAGCCTCACACGCTTCGAATACACTTTTCGGATCGCTCGCTTTCGAGAAGATACATTCTTGGAACGATTCCATCACGCGGGAGAAGCGTCGGAGTAGTTGAACCCTTAAACGGGAAAGCAGCTAGAATGCCACCTCTTAATTCGGTCTATGAGATTTTGGAGGGTACTGCCGCTGCCGGATAACAGAACTGCAAGGCGTTTCGGGGCACTCCCAGTCTGAGCCATGAAAATGAAAACTCTGCGGCGAGCATCCTCAGACATATCGTAAACTCGAGTATAATAACCACACAGATCGGACATTAATTATACACGTGTCACCTGGTATATCACACGAGCCACGGATGAAGCATGAACCAACCTAAAAGTGTCACACAAACGAACTCCGTTCGAATAACGGATAGAAAAA